TCCTAATATCTAACAAAACAGACTTCAAGCTAAAATCAATCAAAAGAGACAAAGAAGGACATTTCATATTAGTCACATCAGATCAATCCTTTGTCTGATGTGGGGTTGGTGAAAATCTTTTCCCATTCAGTAGGCTGCCTTTTTGTCTTATTGACCATGCCTTTTGCTTTACAGAAGCTTCTCAGTTTCAGGAGGTCCTATTTATCCCATTTATTTATTGTTGCTCTCAGTGTCTGTACTACTGGTGTTATATTTAGGAAGTGGTCTCCTGTGCCCATGCATTGAAGGCTACTTCCCACTTTCTCTTCTATGAGGTTCAGTGTGGTCTGATTTATATTGAGGTCCTTAATCCATTTGGACTTGAGTTTTGTGCATGGTGATAGATATGGATATGTTTTTATTCTTTTACAGGTTGACATCCAGTTATGCCAGCACCATTTGTTGAAGATGCTTTGCTTTTTCCACTGTATAATTTTACCTTATTTGTCAAAAATCAGGTGTTCATAGGTGTGTGGATTAATATCTGGGTCTTCAATTCAATTCCATTGGTCAACGTCTCTGTTTTTATGCCAATACCAAGCTGTCTTGATTACTGTAGCTCTGTAATAGAGCTTGATGTCAGGGATGGTAATGCCTCTGGAAGTTCCTTTATTGTATAGGTTTGTTTTGGCTATTTTGGTTTTTTTGTTTTTCCATAAGAAGTTGATTATTGTTCTTTTTAGGTCTGTGAAAAACTGTGTTCGGATTTTGATGGGGATTGCATTGAATCTATAGATTGCTTTTGGTAAGATTGCCATTTTTACTATGTTAATCCTTCCAATACAAAAGTTTGGGAGATCTTTCCATTTTCTGATATCTTCTTCAATTTTTTCTTCAAAGACTTAAAGTTCTTGTCAGATATGTCTTTCAATTCCTTTGTTAGTGTTACCCCCGTGATATTTTGTTATTTGTGGCTATTGTTGAAAGGTGATGTTTCTCTGATTTACCTCTCAGCTTCTTTATCTTTTGTGTATAGGAGGGCTACTAATATTTTTTTTTTGAGTTGATCTTGTATCCTGACACATCACTGAAGATCTTTTTCAGCTGTAGGAGTTCTCTGGTAGAATTTTTGGGGTCACTTATGTACACTATCATATCATCTGCAAATAATGAAAGTTTGACTTCTTCCTTTCTAATTTGAATCCCCTTGATCTCCTTATGTTGTCTTATTGCTATTGCTAAAACTTCAAGAATCATGTTGAAGAGATATGGAGAGAGTGGACAGCCATGTCTTGTTCCTGATTTTAGTGGAATCACTTTGAGTTTCTCTCCATTTAATTTGATGTTAGCTGTTGGCTTATTGTATATTGCTTTTATTATATTTAGATATAATCCTTGTATCCCTAATCTCTCTCAAGACCTTTATCATGAATGGGTGTTGGATTTTGTCAAATGCTTTTTCAGCATCTAATGAAATGATCATATTTTTTTTCTTTTAGTTTATTATATGATGGATTACATTGATAGATTTTCATGTTGAACCAGGCCTGCATCTCTGGGATCATGGTGGATAATTGTTTTGATGTGTTCTTGGATATGGTTTGCCCCTATTTTATTGAGAATTTTTGCATCCATGTTCATGAGTGAAATTGGTCTTTCTTGGTTGAGTCTGTGCAGTTTTAGTATCAGGGTAACTGTAGCCTCATAAAAAGAGTTTGGCAATGACCCTTCTGTTTCTATTATGTGGAACACTTTGAGGAGTATAGATTTTAGCTCTTCTTGAAAGTTCTGGTATGATTCTGCACTAAAACCATCTGGCCCTGGGCTTTTTTTTTTTTTGTTTGGAGGTTTTTGATGATAGCTTTTATTTCCTTGTGGCTTATAGGTCTATTTAAATTGTTTACCTGGTCTTGGTTTAATTTTGGTATATGGTATCTATCAAAAAATTATCCATTTCTTTTACATCTTTCAAATTTGTGTAGTACAGGTTTTTGCAGTAAGACCTAATGATTCTCCGAATTTCCTCAGTGGCTGTTGTTATGTCCCCCTTTGCATTTCTGATTTTGTTAATTTGGATGTTCTCTCTCTGCCTTTTGATTAGTTTGGATAAGGGTTTGTCAATTTTGTTGATTTTCTCAAAGAACCATCTCTTTGTTTCATTGATTCTTTGTATTGTTTTCTGTGTTTCTCTTTTGTTGATTTCAGCCCTCAATTTGATTATTTCCAGTCTTCTACTCCTCCTGAGTGAGTCAGTTTTTTTCTAGAGCTTTCAGGTGTGCTGTTAAGTTGCTAATGTGAGCTTTCTCTGTTTACTTTATGTGGGCACTTAGTGTTATGAAATTTCTTCTTAACACTGCTTTCACAGTGTCCCATAGGTTGTACCTTCATTTTCGTTAAGTTCAAGGAAGACTTTAATTTCTTTATTTCTTCCTTTACCCAGGGGTGGTTCAGTAGTTGACTGTTCAGTTTCCATGAATTTGTAGTCTTTCCGGGGGTGGTATTGTTGTTAAATTCTAACTTTACTCCATGGTGATCCGATAAGACACTGGGGGATAGCCCAGCCACAGAAAAATCAGGAACACTCCCTTCTGGCTGGCTAGAAAAGCCAAGGGAGTTGGGGAGGGGCTCTTGGGTTTTGTCACACTGGGGAGGTCCCAGAGAATGGGGTGTCCAGCTGTCCAGCCCTGTGGCCACTGACTCATCTCTTAGCTCTCCTCAATATTGGAGCAGGCTGAGTTCCAGGATTCTGCTGAGCTTGCAGGTGAACAGGCAGCCTATAACTTCTTAAGATTGATTTTTAAAAAAAATTAAAAAATTTAAACATATAAAAAAAGTTCTTCTACATAAATTACAAAATATAAAAACCTACAAACTATGTAAAACATTAAACTGTTAACCACAACCACTTGCCCTTAGCTCAAAATGCCATAACTCATAGCCTAAATAATAATTTATATCAAAACTAATGCCAAGCCATGTCTAACATAACTAACCAGACTCACACCAAAACATCTAACAAAATCTATTCTCATATATCTTATATAATAATTCTAAACATAATCTGTACTACATAAAGAAACAATACATGCTATTAAACAATCTTTTCTGCTCAAAGGATGAACATCATGCCTAATAAAAATACATTCAAATACAATTCCTTTAAGTCTTACGTCTTTTTGTCCTTTGCCAACTCCTTTCCACCTATTCCTGAGACCCTGTCCCATAGGTCCTGATGTTCCGGGCAGAGCTGGTCCATCACAAAACCTATTAAGTCTCAGTAATCAACCTTGATTAAAGTTCCTCCCTGCTGGGTGTGGTGGTGCACACCTTTGATCTCAGCACTAGGGGGCAGAGGCTGGTGATCTCCATGAAGCCAGTCTGTTCATACTGTGCACTGATTCTTACTGAAGGGTCTGGGACACACATACCCAACATGGGGCCTTCAGCAGTTGATGAATTCAGCAAGACATTTATTTTCTCATGTTTGCTTATTTTCTTGTCACACAAATGGACAGAAAAGCTAGGACATGACAACTCGCTTCTGAGTCGTATGAATTGTAAAATTGGCATCCAGCAGAATGAGCAGGGCCTGAAACCCCAAATATTCAGGAGGTTGAGATAAGACTGCAAGTTCAAGGCCACCCTTGGATTCAGCTCAAGAGCAGTTAGCTCAGTTTAGTGACACCCTGACTGAAAATACCAAGAAGGGTTGGAATATGGCTCTACTGGTAGGGTGCTTGCCTAGCACCGCCAGTATTCCATACATTGGGGCAGTGGGGTAAATCTAGGAGGATCAGATCACACATGACCATGTGTGACTGGGGGGGGGGAGGAAGGTGTGGGGGAGAGAAAAGCAGAGGTAGGTGGCAGACACACAGAGACAGAGCTAGGAAGAAAGAGAAAGGCAGAGAGAAGTGGGGAGGAGGATGGAAGGCAGCATCAACAGCTGCTACTGAAGGAGGGGTGAGAGAATGGTAAACTGTGGGATTATGGGACTAGATGAACCTGCATTGTGATGAGTCTTCTCTCCATTCTGTGCCCAGAATACAACAGCCATCACGCATCGGCAGCCAACACTGAGTTTTGGTGTCAAGAACTTCACACACTCAGTGACTTTGTCCAACATTTGAAAAGTTTTGCAAAGCTCAGTACTACCAAGGAAAAAACAAAGGTATCTGTGGGAGATTCTAATGCCTCAGGCTAGTCGTCCTAGAGCCTGTGGTCTCCTACCCACCCAGCTAAAATTTCTGGGTACTTCCTTGGTGGATCCCTTCCCACAGTCCACCTGGAGCACTGAGCTTGCTGCCTGGCAGAAAAGGAAAGAGCAGAGTCAGGCCTCTTTCCTTACCTCTGCTCCAGTGCAGGGCCATTCCACAGGCAGGCACAGCCGTCTGTAACACGAGGATACTACAGCCAGCTCCATCACTGGTCTGTCGGTACACAGAAAACTCACAATTTAACTAGCTTTCTCCTGCAGCTGGGGATCAGGCTCCTCTGACTGTCACACATGTGTTTTATCAGCTATGCTTTCTTATCACCTTTTGCTTTCTTCTAAACTAAGAAAATAAAACTAACTTCAACTTAACCATGGCTGAAATGCCTCTCCCCACAACTTCCTACTGCAGGGCATTTTATATGGGTCAGAAAGTACTTTCTACATAGGTAGCTGCTTTTGAGATATGGCTGAAGGGCTCAGTTCTGGGTGTCTAGAAGTTTTGTTGATGGTGTTCTTGGCACCATGAGAGAAAAGCCAGCTCTCACCGTAGAGTGTTGTGTCCATACCGCAAGGACCACATACTTTAGTGCCTTCCATTTTCTCTGCAGGACAGAAGAGGTCTTACTGGTCAGTGAGATCCTATGAGCTTCTGTTGTGCGCTGTGCAGACATGAGGTGGTGGCCTACTTTCTGTAGGGTCTACACGCCATACCACTGGCCCCCTGCTGCTTGGCTGGAAGCTGTTCTGTCCTTCCCGAGGCCACCCCGTCTCATAGCCCCACAGTGTGTTCTTCTGTACACAAAAGTCATGGTACATCAAAATGTTTTTTTATTTGAGACACAAAAATGCAAAATCGCTGAGATATCAAACATTTCCCGATCAGCTACAATACTGCCACTATGTACAAAAGATCTGATGATAAATGCACACACATATAAAAATACAGTCTGCGTTGCCTATGTACAGTACATGTGCAAACGTATGGCATCAGACACAGTACGAATCGAGGCAGGGGTGCAAACGGCACATACAAAGGCATCATGGTTTTTCTTTTAAAAACAACATAAAGGCAACACACAAATGGACCCCCGATTGCCATGATTTCCTGTTCATGAAACTAGTGCTTCAGTAAGAACGGCGCTGCCCACTGTTCTCCCCCATTTTCTTCAGGAAGTGAGATGCTAAGACATTATGTGAGGATGAAAGAGACACCTGCATGTCCACTGCAAGCAACAGAGAACTGGACCTCGATTCAGAACAAACAGCTTTGCATGACTACCACGTAAGCATGTTATTCTTAAACCAACACGACAGCTCCATACTATTTTACAGGAAACAAATATCTACATCTCTCTGAAAATTATAACCGTAAATGGATACCTTTTTGGGATTGACTTGAGATCACATTAGTCTCAATTTTAAAACAAAAAGTGGCTGCTTTTGGCAAATACCTGGTGATGCCTTTGGTTCCTTTAAGCATTCTGCATTACTTTTGGTTTCTTGAGGTTAAGTACTTTTGGTAGATATGAACCCTTTCTTAACCCTTCATCTCCTGCTAGTGGGCAAGGTCCTCACAGTAGGATGGTGAGGTAACACAACTGGGCCATCTTCCAGCAAGTCTGTCTACTCGCTCAGACTTTCTCCTGGATGTTGGCACAGAGCTTTGTTTCACGGCTGATGCTGCTGTCGTCACTGGGCTTCCAGACAGCACCGAAGATGCTAAGCTGTCACCAGCCTGTGACACCCCACTACCCAGAGCAGCGGGCTTCAGTGGAGGGCAAAGCTCCTCAGAGACGTGCAGCTTCTTGAATCACAGGCCTTACACGAAAGACACAGGGACACATCTCCTCAGGTACAGGGAGGGTTAGCGGATGAAAAAACGACCTGCTTGTTGCTATACAGTCACCGGACAAATAAACCGGAACTGCTGAGTGAACAGATGATTGAAAGTCTGAACCAGGGAGCAAAATGACTACGTGAGCTGCTATTTTCCAGTTTTGACTCTTTTACAATGAGTGGAACTTTTAGGATGTTATCCAAATGCACCTTCTGTAAGCATGAACACTGTTTCTTAATAAACCTGGCCTTCCAGTTACTGTGCAGGGTAACCTGGGGCTAACTGTCCACTGGGGCAGTGGGTCCCTGTGTATCTGATATCCTCAGTGTTGTATGGTGTTTTGGACAGAAGCAAGCAAGGCTGTTTGAGTTTGCTGGGCCTGACCTGGTTGCTCTGATGCTCGAATAAAATGGCCACTCCTGGCTTTCTCTGTAGTCCTGCCGGTACCCATATTCCTGGCCTCCTACCATCAGCAGTTTCTGAGGCTGGCTATGTGAGAACAACTAAGGGTATAGATGTGATGTGGGCTCTTGTTGGCCACTGATCTAGGCCAGGTCTGCTCAAGGGCAGTAAAAAGAATGCCCTCTGACTTGAGGGACAGCTGCCCCCTCAGCTGTAAGTGCTGGGAACACTGCCTGGGATAATGGGGCTCAGGTGGCTTGAGCCCACTCTGGTGACGAAGTGGACACTGATCTCACCAGCTCCTCTGGGTCAGCTGACGGTGCATGTGTGCTGAGAGCCCATTTCTTTGGCTCTGCAGAGCTGTCCTGGCTTTTTGGAGTACTCAGACCAGCAAGGCATAGCATGTGGTCAGAGAACTGTGGAGCTTTTGAAAAGGTTTTAGTAAAGTCTCAGAAAATATTTGTGTGTAACAAACACATATGGTATTTGAGCGAAAAGTTCCATGAACTCAGGGCATCTCTGTGTGCTCACTTCTGTGGGATGCCTGGGTGAACACTGGAGCAGCCCTGGTAGGGTTCCAAGAGGCCCCCAGCCACATCAGCCTTCTAGAATCCACTCATCCCATCCTAGTAAAATGGCTGGGAAATCTATACCTTAAAGTCAAGTTGATGCCACTGCACTTTGCGACTGTGTGGACATGTGAGGCTGGGGTTGGACACTACAGGCTCCTAGGAGGGATTTCCTTAGTAACGTGTACAAACAGAAGCCTCCCCACACACGTACACGCACAGTGGGAATCTAACGGGATCTCTGACCTAACGGCTGTGAAATAACGTCACACCTGTTTGTGTGTGGAGCTTAGAGGGCAACTTGCGGGAGCCAGTTCTGTCCTTCCATCAGATGGATGCTGGGGCTCCTCAGGCCTGTTGGCAGCCCCCACCCCTACCTACGCAGTCCTCTTGCATCAGTTCTAAACAACAAAGTCATCTTCAGACACATACCTTTCCCCACACACTCGCTGAGGGCTAGAGCTATGTCAGGAGGCTTCTCTGTAGCGTGGTCTTTGGTCATGACGCATTATGTGAGCACATGGGAAAGATGCCCACTCTGGCCCAGAGCATGCTGGAAAGGCCTAGCAAGCACTCTCAAGTCACTGGTGTCTTAAGTACCTACTAGATGCTCGAACCAGGAGAGCAGGGCAAGGAATGTTGTAGGTGAGTTGGCTGCAAGTGAAGTCGGTAGCTGGAGGCCCCTTGGTGTTTTAAGAAATGGGACCCTAGGCCGGGCAGTGGTGGCGCACGCCTTTAATCCCAGCACTCGGGAGGCAGAGGCAGGCGGATCTCTATGAGTTCGAGACCAGCCTGGTCTACAGAGCTAGTTCCAGGACAGGCTCCAAAACCACAGAGAAACCCTGTCTCAAAAAACCAAAAAACCAAAAAACCAAAAAAAATGGGACCCTAGTGGACAGGGTGGGCACATGAACACCGAGATGGCTTCCTCTGTACTCAACTGTGTTTGGAGAATGACTTTCTTGTGGCCGGCTTCAAACCAACTTATAAGTCTAACAACGCAAGGGACTTGAGGGCTAGAATGTTTTCTCTATTCACAACTCAGAATTACAGAATTTTCCTATAGGAGGAAATGCACCAGCATTTAGCCGCTCCCCACAAGCTCACTGATACTTGGGACTACTTTAACTGGACACCCAAAGCTGGAGAAAGAAGACTAAAACTCTCCAAGACCTAGAGCTGAAATTCTCATGTGGAAAGTTTCTGCCCAGGTCCACAGCTGGGGCCAGGGCACAAGCAGCTGTCTAGCAGAACCAACTTGGCTGCACATGTCCTAAGAGAGTGATCAAACAGTTCCTAAACAAGAGGACTTTCTGAGCTCAGTGGTCCCTGGCCACCAGCAAGCCAAACTTTAGGTGAGGGGGAGCTGCTCAGATGCTAAAGCTGGGAAAAGGGACCATTTTGACACAGAGTGGGATTAAACAAGTGCAAATTGGAACTAAGATTACTTTGGGGCAAAACCTCCTCAGAGATGATTCCGGTTCTGTCTAGGCAATGGGCCAGGCCACTTCCTGGAGGTGCCTGTGGAAGAGGCTGTGCACTGATGCAGGAGGCCCATCTGGCTCAGGTAAAGGGGTGGGAATAAAGCTGCTATGTAAAAGAAACCCCATGCTTTGCTCAGTTATTTACAATTAGCCAATAACTAAATGACTAGATCAAGAGCTGGGGAAATCCTGTGGCAGTTGGCATTTTAGAAATTCTTAAATTACTTGACAATATAATTTTTCCTTTATAGATCAAGAGAAAAAAGAAATGAAAGCTCCAGTTTTTAGGTGTAGGCTTGAGAACACACTGAGGGCAGGCAGAGCATCCGGTTACAAGCCTATGCACGAAACCAGGGAATCTAGTGATGGGAGAATCTAACCTGTGCTCAAGGTGGACTGTCTGGGAGTCTGACACACTCCACGCGTTCCCTTCTTCTAACTCAGTAGCTCAAAAAGGAATTTCACGTTGAAGCCTTTTTTTTGTTCTTTGAGATGGGTATGGTCACCTGAGAGTCTGTCGGCAAGTCTTCAAAGATGGAGATACTGTGGCTCAGGTAATCTAGAGATATCTGAGTTATTACAACAAGCAGGACCAGTGGATGGCCATCCTTTTACTCTATTGCAGGCTGTAGAGATCACAAGGTCAGGGCATATTCCAATGTCTACCATCACATGAGAACCAAGCTCACCCACCTGAGGCTACTGGGAAAACCACAGCACTAACACATCTGGACTCTGGACACCGGGTTCTTGTGTGACAGTATTTTGCAGACACATGCTTATGGTGAGAGGCTGTTCACTGAGATTCCCAAACTCAAAAAATGACCTATGACATCACACAGTCACACAGATGTCAGAGTGGAACTCGGAGCCTCAAACACCTCTGACCTTGCTATGGACCCAGTTTAGGCCACTCTAGAGAGCACATGTGCAGTAGCTTCTCCCCTCCTTGTGGTTCAAGGGGAGCTGCTTGCCTCTTATTAGGGTCGTGAGGTGACTACAGAGGTTGAAAGGTGGCTGATGACCAGAGCGCTAGTGCCACTTCCTATGGCCGGCTCCTGACCTTTGGCTTTATCTAAGGCATTTCACAAGGCCTCTTGCATGCGACAGGCCTGCCTCTCTAAGTTGTGGAGTCACTGCTAGATGAATGGGTGCTCTCACACTTGGCTTCCAGGCTATGACTGTCCTTTTTTTCATGACAATATATTTTAATTGTGACAGTGCAGCTATGGCCATGGCTCTAAGCACTGACCCTTCAAGATTTTTTTCATGTTTTGGAACCTCACGACTGAGACAAGTGACCTGTGACCTTAGTCCCATGGGAGTGGCAGGTCCTGTGGGTCCAGAAAATCAGCAGAGAACATGCTTGGTGCAGTGGCGCTCAGAGGCGTGAGCCCGGAGGATGCAGTGGGCATGGTGATGTCCAGCCACTCCATGTTGTCCAGGTTGGAGTCTGACAGGTCGAGAGACAGACAGGGGGTCCCTGCCACAAGCTGGGCCTCAGAGGTCTCCATGGGAGACTGGGAGTGGCAGAGCATGCCGGAGTGACTCAGCAAGTCATTCTGGAGATCCTCTATCAGAGAGAATGGCTCTCTGTCTTCACTGCTGCTCTGCAGTGGGGCAATGTCATTGGTCGAGGGTAAAGTCCCATCCAGGAAGGCTTCTAGCTGGTTCTCTAAGCTGGTGAATATATTGTTCATCGGCTCCAAGGAGACAGGCGGTGCTATCTGGACCTGGGGCGGTGGTCGAGACACCACTGTGTTGACTGGCATTGTAGTGATGCTGGCTGTCACTGGCCTCATCTTGGAGATTGGAGAAGGCTCTTCTTTTACAGGAAAGGAAATCTCTGTGCAGAAGAATTGATGGTGTTAGTACGGACATGCTGCCGTCATACTTCACATTAGTGACACCTCCTCACCCCTTCTCACATCCTAGAAACAGAAATACCATGCTCTATGTAACCCTTTTTAGTCATTACCGCTGAATTTCCCTCAGGTTTGGTGTCAGAGTCTAGAAAGTTCCCAAAGGATACAGTAAACCTTAAGGTGCAAGGCTGATGCTGGCTCTTTTGTCCTCCTCCCTAAGGTGAGGTAGGCCAGCTGCTACTCTGAATTCTTGTTCTTTTCTGAGTTATATTAATTTTGGAGCATTAGGCAAATGGCTCAATAAGCATCAATAATTTATTTAATTTATTCTTATATATTTAATGTGTTCCTGTGTGCAAGTACCCAAGAAGGCCAGAAGAGGGTGTCTGATCCCCTGAGCTGGAGTCACAGGCACTTGAGAGCCGCCCAACATGGGTGCTGAAGACAAAATTCCAGCCTTCTTCAAGAGCAGGGAGCGAGTGCTCTCAAGTGTTGGACTATCTTTCTAGCCCCCACTCTTTTACTTTTTGGTGCCCAGCCCTCCCCCCTCCCCCGTGTGTGTGTGTGTGTGTGTGTGTGTGTGTGTGTGTGTGTAAGCTAGAAGTTGATGTCAAATGCCTTCCTTAAATTTAACTCTATCCTGCTTTTTGAGACAGGGTCTTCACTGAACCTAGAGCTCACCTGTTCAGCTCTGAAGGCAGGGCAACACGCCCAAAGGACACACTTTTCCTTCACCTCCCCACAATCCTCAAAACTGCTTTATAGCCCAAGCTGGCCTTGAAATCAGAGATCCACCTGCTTCTGCCTCCATGTGCTGGCTAAAGGCATGAGAACCACCAAACGCCAGCTCATTTTTTCTTTTCTTTGTGGGTTCTGGAGGAACCAAACTCAGACTTGCATAGTGCACATTGATGGAGCCATCTCCCTACCTGGTCACGTGTTGATTCCTCTGTTATACACGAGTGCTCACTGAGATGACGTTTAATAACGTCTTTCACTGCTTTTGAGACAGGTTCTCATTATGTGTAGCCCTGGCTGATCTGGCCTGGAACATGGAGAGGCCTGCCTGCCTCTGCCTGTTGAGTACTGGGATTAAATGTGAGCGTCACCATGTTTGATTCTATCTCACTTTTCTGAAAATACACGAGGGGAGAGGTTTAATGAACTTAGGTCAAGTGTGTCTGGGAGTTTTGCCTGTGTGCTGTATGTGCAGAGCTCATGGAGGCCAGAAGAGGGCTCTGAATCACCAGGGACTGGAGTTGATGTTTGTGAGCCACCACGTGGGTCTCAGGAAGAGCAGTCACAGAACCATCTCTTTGGCCCCCTAAAATTATTATCAATCATTGAAAAAAAAATTATCTCTACCAGACTGAGCAAAAATTGAATGCCCTGATTTTTAAATAGTTATTTCACTGTTAAACCCCTAAGTTTTAAGGTTAACGTGTTTTAGAAAGACCAATATAGTTCTTAGCAAAGACTTCCACTTAAGCATACGACCCATATGCAGATGCAAGAGTCCTTCACTAGCCTAGTCTTGGCCAGAGCGTCAGCCTCTGGTCAGATGATGTTCCATTATAGATAGAGAAACAGCAATCAGATGTACAACTGCATAGAAGACTGCTTTCCTTACAGGACTTTAACTTTTGGCCTGTGTACACGTGTGTGTGTGTGTGTGTGTACATATGTGTACGTGTATAGTGTGTGTACATATGTGTACGTGTATAGCCAGGGATAAAAGATTACACCTCACATTTGTATTGCAGTGCTCTGCCACTGGCTTACAAGCACCCTCAAAATCTTCTGGAAAACCGATTCTATGCTTATTTTTAAAGACATATGAGCTGAGGTGGACTTTTCCTGTGGTTAATGTGTGATTTTAATTTATCCCTCCACTTTATTGCTTTATGTTGTGAAGTCCGAGAACACCTTGTGGTGGCTAGTTCTCTTCTTCCGCCATGTGCATCCTGGGTATCAAACCCAGGCCATTAAGCCTGACAGTACCAGCCCTGATGACTTCTTTTTTTTAATATTTATTTATTATGTATACAATATTCTGTCTGTAGGCCAGAAGAGGGCACCAGATCTCATTCCAGATGGTTGTGAGCCACCATGTGGTTGCTGGGAATTGAACTCAGGACCTTTGGAAGAGCAGGTAATGCTCTTAACCACTGAGCCATCTCTCCAGCGCCCCCCCCCCCTTATGACTTGTTATGTGTAGTGTTCTGAGTTCTAACAGCACCTTTCCTATGAGTTTTCTCACCAGCCCTGATGACTTCTTATGTGTAGTGTTCTGAGTCCTAACAGAACAGCTGAGGGAGCCCAGGCCAGGCAACCAGAGTGTTCTCAGCCCACAGCAAGATTGGAGCACAGGCATGCTTTGCAGATTTGCGTAGAGTTTAGATCTGGCTCAGCTCTGCTGTTTGTGAATGATCTTTCCTTTTTGCTAGGTAATGGCTGTGGCCAGGACATCATGCCAATTTTTGACGTGGAACCAGAGACATTTCCTCTGTTACATGTTTTAATGACCTAACTTAGGTTTAGAACTGTCCATTTCTCAGTTTCCAAGACAACCTCACTTTAGAGAAGAACTGTCCTGGGCCAGTGTTCAGCTTCTGACCTACCTCCGCTCTTTATGAGGATGTCGAAGAGGTCGTCCATCTGTTGACTGTGCACACTGGAAACCTGCAGTCAAGGAAAGCAGAGTTAGCAGCTTTTACCAGGGCAGTCTCTGCAGCCATGCCCTGAGGGTCCTCTAACACCTGATCATCTGGAAAACAGCTGTTACTTGGGATAACTCAGTAACCCAAATGTTACCCAAAATATCACAGCATGATAGGTCATGTAGGCGTCAATCAGGAAGTCCGTTACTTGACATCCACATGTCCCTTACTGTCACTGAATGCCCCTTTGGGAGATTCCTAATACCTTATTTTAAAAGTGTTTCATTCATTTGCATTTAGCAAAAATTGGTATGTCTAAAGATGAGTACACTATGCATGTGTTTTCAGCTTTGAGGTTTACTTGATACAAAACTTGCATTTATCATATGTGGTAGTTTAAATGAAAATGGCCCTCACAGGTTTATAGGGAGCGCAGTATATGAAAGGATCAGGACATGTGTCACTGGGGGCAGGCTTTGAGGTTTCAGAAGCTGAAGCTAGGCCCAGTGGCTCACTCTCTCATCCTGTTGCTTGCTGATCCAGATGTAGAACTCTTGGCTCCTTCTCCAGTACCATGCAGTAAAGTGTGTTGCAGTCAATGAAGCTGAAAGAGGTTGTAGATCTGAGGAGCACACTGACAGCAGACATGGAGACGTAGAGTGTGGAGTTTGCCCAGCTGGATCTGTGTCTTGCTTTGGTCCAGTATTTCCTCATTATGCCCTCTCCCATTCTTTTGGAACAGTAATGTATATTTTGTGCCATTATATGTTGGAAATTTGTGATCTGCTTTTTTAAATTTTCATTTTATAGGAGATTATAATTAAGAGATTGTCAGGAGTATCAGATTTTGAACTCTAGAGTGCTGAGACTGTGATACACTGTGGGGACTTTTGAAGCTGGATTGAATGCATTTTGCATTATCATATGGCTATAAGCCTATGGGGCTAGGGAGTGGAATGTGGTGGTTTGCATAAAAATGGCCCCAAAGGCTCATAGGAAGTGGTGTTATTTGAAAGGATTAGGACATGTGGCCTTGTTGGAGTGTTGAAGTAGGTGTGGTCTTGTTGGAGGAAGTGTGTTGGTGGGAGTAGGCTTTGAAGTTTTAGAAGCCCAAGCCAGGCACAGTGTCTCACTCTCTTCCTGCTGCCTGTGGATCCAGATGTAGAGCTCTCAGCTCCTTCTCCAGCGCCATGTCTGCTGGTTTGCTTCCTGCCATGATGGACTAAGCATCTGAACTGTAAGCCAGCTTCAATTATGCTTTCCTTGACGAGAAAGAGTTGCTGTGGTCATGGTGTCTCTTTAAAGTAATAAACCCTAATTAAGACACCACAGACCATGGAGTTTAAGGTCCATGAAACTATCAACAAGGTCACCTGGGAAGCTCCTTCATCTCCAGGACACCAATGTCCTTTTTCTTTCAGAACAGATCAGTTTCCTGTCAGTGATTAAGAATGTACTTCTTGGGGTTTTATGCAAGTTATTATTCTGAGGTTTATCATGTTGTAGTATATACCTTTATAGATAGTTCATCCTTTTTTATTGCTGACTGCGACTCCATGTATGGAAATGCCTGTTTTCCTATTCATTCACTTCTTGATAGACATCTGAGTTCCCACTTTTGGACTGTTAACAAAGTTAGTATAGAAATCTGCATACAAGTCTTTGCACAGCCATGTCCTGTTTTCTCTTAAGTCACTCTAGGAATGAGTGAATACACATTTAATGTCTGAGAAAATGCTCAAACTGTTTCCCAGTATGACTGTAGCCCATCAGCAGGTATTCTTCATTCACATTTTTACTTTTTGAGGGGAGTTGTGAGATGCAGATGTGGTTCTAATACATTTCCCTGGTGACTAGTGATGGTTGGATGTTTGCACATACGTGTTCACTAGCCACTTATCATCCTTGATAAAATATATGTTGAAATCTTTTGCCACCAGCATATCTAGTAAGTTTCCTATTTAAATGGTCTACTTTTCCCTCCAACTTAAAACCTATGTCTTTGTGTTTTGAAACTCACGGATTATGCTTTATTTGAAATTATCCAAAGTTTACATTTCATTCACTCATTTATTCAAATACGGTTTCTCTGTATAAAAGTCCTAGCTGACCTGGAACTTGCTTTGTAGACCAGGCTGGCCTTGAACTCAGAGATTCTCCTGAGTGCTGGGATTAAAGTGTGCACAACCACACTTGGCTTACATTTATTCTTAAAGAACACTCTCACTTGATACAGAACCCAGGTGGCAGTCTCTCTGACCCCTCCTCACTAAGAACTGAGTATGGGCTCTCCACCAAAGAACTGAGTGAGCTGAGTCTCTGCCTCAGTTCTGTGCTAGCTGCTACTGTGGGAAGATGGAGCCAGCAGGGACCCATGCAGGACCTGCTGGAGCCTTAAGATTTCCAGAGGGGCTTAGTGGTGCTGATGCACAACTGGTGCCTGCAGCCTAGAACTGCACCCAGTGACATGTGAGCCCCAGAATTCCTGCTGCTTCTTCTGTTGTGCATGCATCGGGTGGGCACTGCCAGGGGGCCTGCTCATGAGACTCGTGTTTGGTGGCCTAGGGCTGCCTTCTCACCACCATTAAAATCATTTGGCAGTTCATTTCTGTTCCCTGGAGATGCTATTTTCAAATGGAGTGTGGGGAAGGGCAGGCCAATTTCCATTTGTTTACTCTTAGAGCAGTGTTTAAACTTTTTTTTTAATCTGTCTTTTCCTTCATAGCTGAGGTCTCTGTTGAGTCTGGGATGTTTGACAACTAGGAAAGCTGTCTTTGCTCTGCATCTTGTGGTCACTGAGCATTTCCTCACAGTCAGTGACCAAGTGCCTGCACCTTAGTTAAGGGAGCTCACTTGTTTGAGGCTCGCTAGAAGTACGGCTTTGCTTCCTTATGCCTTAGACAGCAAGCATAGCAGCACACCATGTGTCCCTGACAAGTACTCTACAGAGTATGGGTTGTGCATGTGTGCTCATATGAACTCTTCTAGGATCCACTGTGACCTGCTGTCAGGTCTACCCCTCAGGTCCCCTGGGGTGCTGGGCTTTCTCAGTTCTGAAAGGCAGGGGCTCAAATGCTTTCACGTCTATCAGCCAGTGCTGTGGTCACAATTGAGAACTCTCACTCTGCTCACTAAGGGGCACAATCACTGCTACTTCCGTGTTAGAGGGGACCCAGGAGGGCTCCAAGGAGAGAGACATAAACACCTTGCCTGAGGCCACACTGTGACCCGCTGATCCCGACAGTTAGTATAGCCAATCGGCCTGGGATTCTTCACATGCCAATTCAAAACAGCTGGAATCTCTGAGTTCTATCTGGGGACGTTCCCGAGAGGATGACCTGGGATATGACTGTGCCCTCACTTACCTCTGGAAGGGCTGGCTGGGCACTGCGTGTCTGCTTGATGGCCTCTTCGTAGCGAGGTGGGTCTTTTGTCTTGGTGACTGGGGTCCCAAACAAAGAGTGCTGGACGACAAACTGCTGGACTGGCACGGGTGAGCTAGGCTGCATCAGCAAAGGGAAACACTTGTTAGCTCTGGAGCACCCGCCGGCCCTGCAGTGGCTCTGTCACCTCATGGGCACCTGGGCAGTGACAGGTGGTGGCTGTCTTGTGGAAGGACTCCTCTTCACTGACCAGAGATTCAAGTCACTGTCAGTCCTAGTTCACTCCCTTAACTCCAACACTGAGTCAGCACACACTCCAGATGCCAGGATGACTGTATGGCCAGTAAGGACTGTAGATGCTTACCTTGCTGGCTGGGTTAGGGCCGTTTTGCAGGGGTGCAAGTGGGGTGCTTCTGGACTGAAGAACAGGGTTGGAGCCTTTAATGACAAAGGGCTGCTGGGTCGCTGGGCCAGGTGGCCTCTGATACTGGAGAACTGTGTTTGGTGCAGAGTTGGTGAAGACCTGTGACAATGAAGGAAGGAAAACCGTTTTAGAGCAGACGGGTCTCTGCTGGGAGCTGCCAACAGGACTGCATCTGCAGACACAGGCGGAGTGGGGTTCCTCTGCTGTGGAGCCAGCATTTTACAGAAGGGTATTCAGGCAGTTTTCCTGGGGTGACCTGGTCCCCTTCCAGGACACAGGATAAGTTAACAGCAGCCATTTTACTTCTGCCTTCACACCCAAATATGCCATCTCTCTGGACACCTCACACTGCTCTAGCTCAGAGGGTGCTGGCATTAAATATAGTCTTCTGTTCTGGCTCTGAAGCCGCCTGCAGATCTTTCCCTTTTGCATTTCCTAGCTCTTTAGTCCTAATCCTGGAGCTGCTGAAGCCCTCCCACTGACACATGCCCATCACACGGGCGGCACCCCTTCTAAAGAACTGCTTTCTGTGTCGAAAGGTTGAAGGGGAAACTAGTTTCCTTCAAACTCCAAAGTGTTTGCTGTGGCTCCATGAAGAGCCGTTAGTGTGATGACTTTTATAAACTAATAGTCACATTGCTTATTCAGTACCTGTGTCTTACAGTGCTTGGTTTAACTGCCAAAATGATAGAAGGTGGCTTCTTCCTTGTGTCACTATGAGTAGATATATGCCTTTATTTTTGTTACACTTATTTATATTTCATGTGCATGAGTATTTTGCCTGCATGTAGCACGTGCATGCCTGGTGCCAGGAAGGTGAGAAGCAGGTGTCAGGTCACCTTGGACTAGAGGAATAGTCAGCTGTGACTTGCCATGTGAACACTGGGAATTGAATCTGGAAGAGTGTTCAGTGCTGAGCCATCTCTCTAGAGATGTACTGTACTTCTTGCCATGAGGGTACATGAGTGTACATATCTGTTTCCAAGTGCACCTACTGTTTGTAAGTCTCCTCCCATGTGGCAAAACATCTCTTTCTGGAAGTAACGACTCCTAATTCCAGTATTCTGAGATGAAGTGAGAAGCCCTTATTTATACTGTCTGTACCACTTCCCCTAGGTCAAATGAAGCTGAACCTCCTTTAAGCTTACATAACTCCACTAAATGGGTACTCTGTGGTTTCTCATCTTGGTCATGTATGATTCTATTTCCTTTCTCACTCGTGTCAGCTGCTGTTGATAACATGGGCCCTCAGTTTCACCTTCAATCTGTCTCGGCATGCACAGTTCAGGATGCCTAATAACCTGTTCAAGACTGAAGCTCTGAACTCAGACCCAGGGTAAAAACATCTGTTTTAAGGTCCCAAGGTTAGATCCCAGCTCCCTTGTTTTCTGAGAAGGGCCGGCATTGGAGCCTAGGCTGGCTTCACACTGTAGACTCAGTCTTCCCAATGATGGGGTTACTGGTGTGTGCCCCACAAGTGATCCTTCCACTTCTTCCTTCATGATAGGGCAGAGATTCTCAGATACACACATATTAAGTTCTTACTTGAAAAATACCAGAAGTATCTTTAACTATCATTCCTCAAGGAATAGCACATTTAATTAGAAAAGAAATGTATCTTGAAACTCAGTAATATAGTTTAGCAGACTTATAAAAACATATTCTGGAAACCTACTTGGAAAAGGGCTAGGTAAAGATTTCCCCAATCCCAGACAGAGTAGCTTTGGACCTAAGGTTTGTTCCGTGGCTGAGCATCACAGCAGCCTCCCAAGGAACTGACAGGGAGAGGTGACAGAACACTGTACCTTTCTGACTGGTTGGGGCTGACCCAGCACATGCTGCGGGAAGGCCTCCTGCTTCTGAGGCAGTGCTGGGGCCAGTGGTACCGCTGGAATCTGTGTGGCAGTGGCTATCTGAGGCTGAGCCTGGGCTTCTCCTTGTCCTGGGGTCTAGGAAGAAAACAAAGACTACTCTTAATGTCAAGAAGCACATCTGGGATGGAGTTTATGATGCAGTGCACATCTGGGACTGAGTTTATGATGCAGTGCACATCTGGGACTGAGTTTATGACGCAGTGCACATCTGGGACTGAGTTTATGATGCAGTGCACATCTGGGACGGAGTTTATGATGCAGTGCACATCTGGGATTGAGTTTATGACACAGTGCACATCTGGGATGGAGTTTATGACGCAGTGCACATCTGGGACTGAGTTTATGATGCAGTGCACATCTGGGACGGAGTTTATGATGCAGTGCACATCTGGGACTGAGTTTATGACGCAGTGCACATCTGGGACGGAGTTTATGATGCAGTGCACATCTGGGACTGAGTTTATGATGCAGTGCAGCTGATGCCTGGGAAGCACAGCTGAGATGATGACTACAGTCACACACTTTGGTTCATCTCATCTTTGGCAATTATTTTCTCCTTTTTTTCCCCACAGACAGGACTTCTCTGTGAAGCCTGGGTGTCCTGGAACTAGCTGTGTAGATCAGGCTGGCTTCGAACTCAGAGATCCATCTGCCTCTGCCTCCTGAGTGTTGGGATGAAAAGCATGAGCTACCACTGCCTGGTTAATTATTTTCAAATTTGTTTATTTACTGCTAGAAATATATATAGATATATATAACTATCATGAATTGGGTGCCATGTGACACTGTGCTGTACACATGTTGTGTCCTGAAACATTTTCTCTTTCCTCTTTCTCTGGAGATGGGGAGAAAACAGAAACAAGGCAGCTCTATACATAACAGTCAGGTCTGTGGCCCATTTAAGAGCACCAAGGAACACTGTGATACTCAACTGCCCACAATCCTTCTTTAAGCTTGCAGCATGCACAGTCTGCGAACAGCCAGAGATGGGCACATAGCCATAGAGGCCCAGTAGAAAACAGGTTCTGCTCTTGTATCAACTTTAACAAAATGTTTAGATCAATTTCCCCCCAAGATACATTAGAGAATCGACTTCTGACTCAAGTATTCTACAGACAAAGCAGGAGAGTTACATTGTTTTGCACTTGCCAAAGGTGTCTGGGCTCTGCCTCCTAAACTCAGGTGTGAACTTACTGTCACAGGTATTAGGCGAATTAAAGAAGCATTGGCTCAAATGGCTCTTTGTTTTCCTTATGACTACATCTGGGTAACATCCATGAGAAGTGCTACACAGAGCAATAAGCCAACAAGCAGGTCCCTGCAGTCAGATCAGCCCCATTCCGTGAATCCCTCAGCTGAAGCCTTCTCATGTGAACGGTACCTCCCAAGAATATGACACCTCCATCTCAACCAGAAGACATGGGTCTACATGTCAGATCTGTCCTCAGGCTTTTCATTTAAAAATGGGCTGTCACTTAGAACCAGGACAGGAGGTGAAGTACTCAAAACACACAGCCTATGCCAATGCCATTAATCTTTATTTTTAAAAATCTACTTTTTATGTGTATGTTTGTGTGCCTTTGTGAGCTTATGTGCATATGTGTGCAGGTGCCCAAGGAAATCAGAGGGTATAGGATACCCTGGAACTGGAGTTACAGACACTCAACCTGGGTCCTATTGGAAAACAGCATGTGCTCTGAATTACTGAGCAGCTCTCCAGCCAGACATGTGCATCCAAGGGAACAGGGCTAGAACAGGAGGCCACCCTGCTTCTTTTTATTATGTAAAGAGTGCTAGCCATGCTAGCCCTGTCCGACCCACCCACACTATGCCTTCTACAACCACAGCCTGCAGTAGCTGCTCAATGGTTCAAGCTAGCTGCACCACCCCCACTCACTGCAAAGCAACACTGTGAGACACACTTCATACCTGGAGCTGGAGGCTGCCTACTGGAAGCTGCACTGAAGTGACATTTGAGCCCTGGATGGACACCGGCAATAGCAGCTGAGTGGTCTGCGTAGTCAGTAAGGCCGGAGGCTGAGCAACAAGGGCAGGTGGCTGTCCTTGGGAACTCACGTAGAACTGCGAGACAACACTCTGCTGCTCAGCTTGAGCTATGGGGACCTCCTGTTTGATGACCACAGCCTTTTTGGCAACAAGGGTCTGGCTACCTGTGGAGATGGGATGCTGGGGGCTGGAGCAGTCAGGAAGCGAGGCCTCATCCTTGATGGAGGAGGAGCCGACACTGCCATGTATCTGATCTGATGTACTAAGGGGCTGTGAGGGGCCACTGGGCTGAGGGTCTGGTGGTCGCTGCCCTCGCTTTTCTACCTCAAGCTGCATCTTGAGGACCTCTACAAGCTTCTGTTCTTGTTCCAGTTTCCTCTTCAGCTCTTCAATCTGCTTCTCCTTCTCTTGAAGCTTGCGATCCTTCTCAGCAGCGTCCAGTTCTAGGGCTGACAGGGTGCTACTTGTGGGGCTCAGGCTGTCCTCGTGGCCTGTCACCCTCAGGGGGGAGGCACACAGGAACTGGGAAGGGGACATCATGCTCATGATCTCAGTGAAGGTATCTGTCATGTTCGTGTCCTCGGTACTGAGACTGGACTGCTCTGAGGGTGACGGTGAGATGGGTAGAGGGGAATGGGCACTTTCAACGTGGGCCACGTTGCTGGACCCAGCAGGCGGCAAGTCTGCCTTGAACGTGGACACAGAGCTAGTCACAGCATTATGCAGTGTTGTGACGGGCAGTGCCACTGTCACCTCTGGGTTACTGGTGACAATAGCTGCTGATGACACGGCCACAATACCGCCAGCGGCAAGGCCACTACTGCTCACTTCCTGGTAGGGTTTCAGGCGTTCAATGAGGTCGGGTTTGGTTCCTGACACTGGCAGACCCCTCAGTTTGAGTTCTGTCTTCAGCTCTGACACCTGGAGGCAAAAGCAGATCAGATTGGTGTGGGACAACTGTCTACATCCTGTCAATTATATTTTAAATAAACGCTGATTGGCCAGCAGCCAGGCAGGAAGTATAGGTGGGACAACCAGACAGGAAGTAGAGGCAGGTCAATGAGAACAGGAGAATTCTGGGAAGAAGGAAGCCCATTCCTCTGCAGTCCCCAGCCCAGACACAGAAGAAGCAAGATGTGACTGTCTCACTGAAAAAGGTACCGAGCCATGTGGCTGACATATACTAGAATAATGGGCTAATATAAGAGTTAATAAGAAGCCTGAGTTAATGGGCCCATCAGTTTATAACAAATGTAGACCTCTGTGTGATTTTTTTGGGACTTAACGATTGTGGGAACCGGGCAGGACAGAAAACCCCAACAACATCAGATGTCTGGTTTCACCAGTCTCTTGTGCATAAACAGCAGAATTCCCTCCCTTGTTCCCAGAAGGATGGATGGGCTGCTACTCCCAGGAGACGTCTGAACCTGACATATAAACTTAGACTTTCTCCATCTGTACTCAGCATAACAAACTTAAGTCTACAGAGGAGGCACAGAAGCCTGTGAGCAGTAGCTGAAAACAGTCAATACTGTAGGAATTGCTACACAGAAGTGGTCTCTTTTCACGGAGCTCAGATAAGGCATGTGGCAGTAAATGGGAATTATCAGTTATTTGAACCATAAAACTCAACAGAAATAAAAAGAAAACACTCCTACTCTTGTCCATCTCTGGCAAACTACGCATATGATAGGCAAACCTGGTCTTTCTCTCATGTGCAAAGTACTCAGGGGTGAATAAGCTTAAGGTGGAATTGTTACCTTTAAGTCATCCAAGCTGGAAGGCAGAGGTCCTGGTCTCCTTGCAGGTACAGTCGTGCTACTACTGCTGTTTTTGTCATTTCTTCAAAAGAAAGCGAAATGACAGCGTTCACAACAAGCTGCTTCCAGGTGCTGCTCTAACAATCTAGTGGCTTACAAGGAGAATTCATTGCGGATACATACGGGAAGAAGACTCAGGATCATGGGAATATCAAATGCATTCTACCCCAGTCAATTCCTAGAGGTTCCACTGTCTGTTGGTGTGGAGAAAAGTAGAAGGTGGCTCTAAGCTTGATACAGAAAAGGGCAAGGACTGGGGTTGGCTGAGGAGCCCTTGGAAAGAAAGCGTAAGGGCCACACGCTGGACATTACCTGTTAGCACATCTACACCCACGCCTTCTAACAGCTTGCCTGCTGTGGGTTGCAGTTAAATGCCTAGTCTTGAAAATGAAGTTTTTTGAGGTCTAGGCAAAATGCTCGGTGTTTTATATATCATTAATCTTTTTTCAAACAGAACTTAAAGTCTCACCTCAGAGTTGTAAGAACCCAACTGGTGCTTTTCATTTTATTGTCTTTCAATATTGGCCCTACAAGGAGCATTCTGGGACATTTTTCTGAATCAACCTCTCCATGAACAGCTGTACTGTGAAGTTGGGCAGTGGTGGCACACACCTTTAATTCTAGTATTCAGGAGGAAGAAGCAGGCAGATCTCTGTGAGTTCAAGGCCAGCCTGACCTATAAAGCAAGTTCCAGGACAGCCAGGGCTGCACATACAGAAACCCTTTCTCGAAAACCAAACCAAACAAAAAACCTGACCCCTGCCAACCCCCCCAAAAAACCCCAAAAAAACCCCAAAACCCCAAACAACAACAACAACAAAACCCCAGAACAGCTATACTGCACTTTATTACCTGATGTCCCACCCCAAACCACCCTTTATTTCCTCTTTGGTGAAGCATCACTAATGGGTCTAGAGAGAAGGCTTAGCTAGTGAAGAGCCATGCAGGCTTGAGGACCTGTGTTCAGAATCCCAGCACCTACATGAAAATCTAGGCACAGAGGTGTCTGCCTAATCGCTGCACTGGGGAGGCATAAGGGTTCCTGAAGCTTGCTAGCCAAGCTAATAGGCCAATTCAGTGAGCTCTGAGTTCGATGAGAGACACTACCTCAGAAAACAGGGTGAAGAGTGACTGATGCTGACTTCTGACCTGCACCCATGTGTGCGCATAAACACAAAGGCAATCCTTTCTGCTACCTTTATGGCTGAGAGTCCATAACCGTGCCGAGGAGCCACTGTTTAACTTACTTCTATTATTTTAAAAGCTGAATTTTCTTTTCACCTAAATCACAGATGAGAGACCTAAGGTTCTAGGCTTCTGACAACTTCCATAACTTTCACTGCTGCGAGGCCACACGGGGCTTAACTGAAGCCCAGGCTTACTCTGTAAATAACAAGGAGGCTCAGGGATGGGTAGAACCCCACTGCAGAGCTTTGGGGTTTTTGTCTTTTTGCTTTTTGAGACAGTTGCTTGGGTCGGGACCCAGCTGTTGCTTTCCCTGGATTAGTTCTACCATAATAGCTTACTTGGGCTTGCTTGCTCTTAAATAATAACATGTTACAAAATTACTTCCCCACCTCCATGCTGTTTTAGGCATGTCTTTCCCGAGATGGTCTAATCTTTATCGTAAGAGGAGAAAAGTGATAATCATCCCCTATGATATGGAACAGTTTGCTTTCAACATCTTCCCAATGACAAGCTCTGTCCTTCCCAGCTCTCCAGAGCTGGATAAGGGGGAAGTGAGAAATGAGATTTTTGCTGAGTTTCAGAAAAGCCAGATTGGAATTGGTATCTAAAATATTCTTCAATCAATGAGTTGAGGGCACAAAGTTGCCTGCTCTGGACCTGAACAATAGGCTGCAAGCTATGGAATGTCACCCTTCTCTGTTCCGGGGCATGTAAAAATCTTCTCTGTGAGTCACCTGCTGTCCCTCTCATTACCTCATCACTGCCCTTTGCCCCTGAACAGTTCCAGAGTCTCCTTTATTATCAGTACTCAGCTGTTGTTTTTAGTGACTTGGTCCGACCAGGTCACCGTCTAAGAAATGGCACTAGCTGCCAAGAGGAACAGTCTCCTGCAGCACGGATTCTACTTCCTGCCCTAAGCGCCACGTGGAACAGTCTCCTGCAGCACGGATTCTACTTCCTTCCTTTCACCTTTCTCAGGAATCACACATGGTCCCCATCAGGCAGCTTTGCTCACCACTATTGCATGCCCTTTCTCTACCAGAGCTTGTCTCTTTCTCTCTGTTTGGAAGAGTCTTTAGAACCCTCCATGCGGAAATTTCCATAAAAATTTCCCTGACCACTCCTGCCTTTATACCCGTGCCTCTTCACCGTCTGTGGGTGTGCATCCTGTTGTTTTCTCACTGGACACTGACAATGTGTGCATCTTTCCTGAACAGCCGTGAACAGCTGAGCCTACTGGAGGACAAATGTTGGACTAGAAGGCAGGCCACATTCACTTTGGGAGCACAGACACTGTGATGAGCTTGGACAGCAGCCAAGCAAGGGCGGTTCCTGAGCAGAGTACTTGGCCACACTCAGCCTTCTGTAACCTGGGGTCCTCTCAAAGCCAGGGTCCAAGTCATGGCGGGACAAATCCTGAGCACAGGCTTACTTGATGGGTGCGGGCAGGATGGTCTGGTAGTTGTAGTGCTGCTGCTGCTGCTGTTGCTGCTGCTGCTGCTGTTGCTGGCTCAGGATCTGCAGCTGCAGGAAGAGCTGCTGCTGTTGCAGCAGGCGGGCGTAGTTGGAGTCCATCTGCGGCTCACTCTTCTCCCCCTTCTGGTTTGGTGGAATGTACTGGTGGTACTTCAACTTCTTCACCCGGGGTTTGGGATCTTTGCATTTTTTGTTACGGTGTTTGTCATTTGGATTCTTAGGATGGCTTTGCTATATTTTTTAGGAAGTAAAAAAAAAAAAAGGAAAACATTTAAAAAGATGTAAGTTCATGAAAGTGTTTCTATAATGTGCCTCAGTGACTTAGAATTTAAAAAGAGCTGTGTGCCTTAGATGGTCTTCAGTGGCTTTGGGAAGGAATACGACCTGGGCCTGTAATCCCAGCACTCAGGAGGATCCTCCCAGAACAGGAGGATCAGGAGTTCAAGGTCAGTCTTGCCTATAGAGTCTGAGACTAGTCTAGCTATATAAGTCCCTGACTCAAATCAAAGAACCATGAAGACGCTTGCAGACTTAATTTGATTTAAAAATTCTCATTCTACATTACTCCCTTGGCACAGCTTGGTCTGTCACCGCCTATGCAAATGTTACCGACATGGACTCTGGGCCTCCTGCATAGAGACACTGAGTCCTTACACACAGTATCTCCTGCATAGAGACACTGAGTACTTACACACAGTATCTCCTGCATAGAGACACTGAGTCCTTACACACAGTATCTCCTGCATAGAGACACTGAGTACTTACACACAGTATCTCCTGCATAGAGACACTGAGTCCTTACACACAGTATCTCCTGCATAGAGACACTGAGTACTTACACACAGTATCTCCTGCATAGAGACACTGAGTCCTTACACACAGTATCTCCTGCATAGAGACACTGAGTACTTACACACAGTATCTCCTAGTGAGAAGACTGCAGTATGAGTATGGTTATGTAAAACTAAATAAATGCTTTCTTCTAATGAGAAATAGATTATATAAGCAGCATTAAGGAAAATAATAGAATTCAAAATGCCAGGTAATATAAATTTCAGAAAACCCGAAAATGTTTAATTTTTATTTTTAAGATGGGGTGAGACCATATATCACTCCTCTCTTATGAATGACAGGCAACTTTTTCTTTAGTTGTTCTTTTCGGTTTCAAAACAAGCAGACCATTTTCTTTATTTTGGTATTTATGCTACAACTTTACGTTCTCAAGGGGGAGAACAAAGTTTGTTTTGTTCTATTTCAGGTTGTTTATCTTATTTTATTATTATCTTTAGATGCTGTTTGTTTTGTAATGAGAGACAGAATTGGGGTAGACTCAGAAGGAAGGTAGATGAGGAAACCCTTGGGAGGAGCTGGGGAAGGAGAAACTGTGATCAGAATATATTGTACAAAAAGAGCTATTTTCAAAAAAAGAATAAAATCCATAACAAAACAAAAAAGCAAAACGAAACAAAAGAGTGGACTGGAGAGATGGCCCAGCTGCTCAGAGCACTGGCTGCTGTTGCTGAGGACCTGGGTTTAGTTTCCAGTGCCCATGTGCTGACTTACAACCATCAGGACTCCAATTTCCAGGGCATCTTTGGAGCTCTTTTGGCACAAGGCACTCATATGATGCACATACACACATGTAGGCAAAATACTCAAATAAACAAAATATGTCTAAAAATAAAGAATAATAATAAAAAACCTAGAGAAAACAAGACATCATTCCTAGGCTGCTTTAGTGACAGATAACTGAACAGATCTTTCAATAAACTACATATATAACTTCTTTCTCATGACCAAAGAATAAGAAAATGATAAGTCGTCCCCCTACCAAAAGAATGGAGAGCAGACACCGAGGCTGCTAATGCTCTCAGGCACATCCTTCCTATGTGAATGCCTGTCAGTGTAAAGTACAACAGGGAGGGTCCCGTGGACGCTCACGGAAAAGATGCCTAGGAATGCACGGGCGCTTCTTGCCATCCAAGAGTGGTTCCACAGCAGACTTTTATACCAATGACACATACAACACATGGGGACAGCTGCTCTGACTGACTCACAAGAGCTCCATGTGCATCTTTTCCCAACTCTACACTTGGAGCTGGTGGCTGTGGTGGAAGCTTGTACCCCAGGAAAACCAGCAAGGCTGTAACTTGCCTTTCAGCCTGCTGAGCTATTACACACCACCACAGTAACAGTCCAGTTAATAACCAGTTGGTTAGCTAGTTTCAGCATGTTCAAGGAAGAATCTGTACAATGTGAAGGGTGCTGGAGCCTTTGTGCCTCTTCCACAGGAGCCTCTGGTGCATCTCTCCCTCTTCCTTTCCTGGGACTCTACACTCGTCACTGGTACTTCCTCCCCTAGAGTCAAAAACCATCCCTAAAAGATACTAGGAAGCAGCCTTCTGGGCCATTGAGGGATGTGGGGTAGATACTGGTGGGATGGATGTGGAGGAGGAGACTTTGTTGACATTCCTGCTTCTGGTGCTTTTCTGGGAAAGATGTTCTGAAGTCAGAGTTCCACTGCCTCAGACAGCCTTGGTTGAGAGAAGACGATGCTCATCTGAACAGCGCCTTTTCCTTATAGCTGAGTGCTGGTGCAACCTTCAGAGCAGAAACAGGCTGGAGGACTGCTGGGAATCTCTGCTCTGCTCTCATTCCCCCATTCCAGACCCCGACCCTCAGAAAGCCCACCAAGGGCCAGCTCTTCCCCTGGAGCTGCTCGAGACCACACCTACAGGGTATTTTAAACCTAGTCTCTCGACCCTGCCACGGGATTTCTCTCCTGCCTTTCCGAGAGTCACCTGGGAGTTGCTCTGCTCTGTTTATTAAATCTGGTCTTATTACATCAGCAGGGGAACCTCCAAACTGGAGATTTTCAAAATGCTTAACTTGGTCTTGAACCCAGGTAGAGTTGAGTCTTTACCGAGAAAAAATGGGAAAGTCACTCTCCCTCCTACCTCACCTTGACCGACTGCTTGGTAAGCTACTCACTCCCAAACCAAAATGCCTATAAGAGGTCCGGGACCTCTTCTGGCCTCTGCACAGGGATACCCCAACCCCCCACTGTTTGGTCCCAGGCTATCTTGAGGGACATTTAGCCATTGCCTCTGGTCTCCAAATAAAGGCTTGTGAATGGATACTTCTGGGTCCAAGTTCGATCCCAGACACACTTGCTATGTTCCCTATGAAGTCTGTCTGAATTGGGGCTGTCGCACACCATGTGTCTCACCCAGGTTTACAAACGCTGTGCTCCTGCCCCTCGCATTGCCCTGTTCCGTTTGTTTGTACACCTTCTTCTCTCCTAACAATCTCTTTCCAAATCCTCAACTGCTGTTCCAGCTCATCTGGGCTTTCTTCGCTCTTGGGCAGCCTGCGCTTCTACTCTCATTTTTCGATTTTCTCTGCAGTGCTTCCTCCTCTGCCCTTACTTGATGGCTGTCGCCTTTCGGCCAGGAAGCATCCTGTGCTGTTTTATACTATAAACTCTTACTTTAGGATTTTTAGGTTGGTTCCCAAGGAAAAGTCTTGTCTTTCTGCTCAAGAGTACCGTTTATTTTGTATGTACGGGTGGAAATGTGTGAATGGTGTGGCCACAAGCTTGTTTTTAACTGGTCCTGGATGTCAGGGTTTGTGTGTTCTGTGTGTCTTAGTTATATAGCTCAGCTGTTATTACAACTAGCTGCCCGAGCTTAAAATTTGCCTCTGGGCTTTGCTGAATCTGATATGATGACAGAGAAAGTTATTTTATGCTGTTCTACCTTATTATATATATAAAAAAAACAACTTAGAAAAATATGTATGGTTAAAAAAAATCTGTAACAAAAGTTAACTTAAAATTTGTAACTCCAGCCGGGCGGTGGTGGCGCACGCCTTTAATCCCAGCACTCGGAGGCAGAGGCAGGCGGATCTCTGGGACTTCGAGGCCAGCCTGGTCTACAAGAGCTAGTTCCAGGACAGGCACCGAAGCTACAGAGAAACCCTGTCTCGAAAAATCAAAAAAAAAAAAAAAAAAAAAAAAAATTGTAACTCCAGCCGGGTGGTGGTGTGGTGGTGGTGAACCCCTTTAATCCCAGCACTCAGGAGACAGAGGCCAGTCTGGTCTACAAGAGCTAGTCCCAGGACAAGCTCCAAAAACTACAGAGGAACCTGTCTCAAAAAGACAAAAAACAAACAAACAAAAAAACCCCACAATGCTGGAAGCAAAGACTTGTATTTTGAGGCCTGTATTTTGTTTATAGCCATCTTAAGTTCACAAGTTAAGAGCAATTAGCATTTCCTTTGTTAGTTATTATCTCTTTCTCTCAGTCAGAGAGGTCTCCAGACCTGACACCCTCCCCTCCCCTTGCCTGTTTGCTATATATAACAGCTCCTGAGGAGTAATAAAGTTGGCAGCTTGATCAGAAAGCCAGATTTTGCCATTATCTCATGTCTCTTGTCCCCTCCATTCCTCTTCCTCCTCCATGTTTATCAGGGATGCCCTCCCCCAAACAAAACAAAACAAAACTGGTCACTCCAGTTTGGAACTGCTCTGGAAAATAACATGTGGGCAGTCACCAGTTTGAATAAGGACAGAGATTAGGGAGGTCATATGACTTCTCTGCCATCTTACTGCATGGAATGGGTCACCAGGAGGCATTAGGTCTTCAAGTTATTTTAGGTTAAGATACATTTCCATATGATAATCTCTGTCCTGTCCTAAAAACATGGTTTATGAGAAGATAGGATTTAAAACAATGCTGGTTTACCTTTCTGGCAGCCAGATTTTGTTTCTGATTCTCCAATGCTTCAGAGATCTGAGAAAATGGCATTTTAATCAAAAAAAAAACCTTCTCATGATAGAGACACCAGCTCCTAGCAGCATCCTTTATCTCCTCCAAGGAAGCTGGATGGCCACAGAAAAACCTCCATCTGCACCTTGCTTTAAACATGGCAATGCCAGTCATTGAGCAACAAACTGCCTGGCACCTTAATTGCTGCTAAGACCCTGTCCAGACTGTGGATGGGCAGAACAGTGGGGAATTGATTGTCCTGCTTTGCCAAGACAAGGTAGGCCAGTCTCCTCAAATTCCTACTTCATAGAAAAGTCTGTCAGACCTTGATAGCCATGGAGGACTTGAGGTAGCTGGAAAGCTGTCTCCCTTCTGCTTAAATTTATCCTTTTTAGATCCAGTGATGACTAGGGTACCAATAGATTTACCAGTTTAACAGCTTTCCCCTGACCCCCAAGGCTACAACCACTTTGGTAGCTCATTAGTTCAGTCTCCTGTTAAAGGTACAGATAGGTGGACCTTGTTCACAGGCTTCATGGTGTAGGACAAACAGGTTTCAGATGTAACTTTGGAGGCTCAGAATCTTGGCATTGATAAAGGCAGTTCTGACGAGCAAAAAGAGCACTGACTACAAACAGTTTTCAGGAGCCATTAAATTTCTGTGGATTTTACTGGTCACAGGTTTTAGAGACCAGTTAGCATTAAAGAGGGTATGGAAGCCTGCAGGCGTGGTCACCTCTATCTTCCCTTGCTCCTCAGCTGCTCCTCCTCCTCCTTCACTCACTCAACCTCTTCTGTTCAGTAAATTTCCTCTTGTTGTCTTCTAAAAGAATAGACTTAAAGGTGTGTTTCACGGGGCTAAAACCAGACCCTAGGAAATATGTTCATACTTTTTAATCCACAGCCACAGCCTTTTACTATGACACTAAGATATAACTCTGTTCCAGTTGTTTTACAGATGCCTGCAGGTTCCTGGGGAATTGATTTCCCTGCTTTGTCAAGACAAGTTTCACTCCTGCCTGACACATGCCAACTCCAACCCACAGGGGGCCCTCCAGATAGGACAGTCCCTGCACAGTTCTGAGGACGCCAGCCAGGTGTGGACTGGCAGTATGACCTCACCCACATGCTCACTCATAAAAAGTTTTGTTATCTCCTAATTCTTGCTTGTTGACCTTTACAGGATGGATAGAGAGAGGTATCCCCAGCTCCAGGGAAACAGCAGAAGTGATGGCTCAGGTATTCCCCCAGCTACTGAGACACAGTGCTGGTACCACCTCTCCTGGCTCAAGTGGGCACCTATCCAGCAACTGGGACCTGGTTCTCCGAGATGTCCAGTGCAGGGCTCCCCTGCTCCCGTGTCTGCTCCCTCACCCTGGTCTCTTTTGTGCTATCAGGGCATATCTCCACTGCAACCCTTCTGGCAGCCATCAGTCTTCCCATGGCCCCGTTCATGAAGCCAGTGATAATTTAGTTTTTCTTCTAGCAACCTGCCTTTTCTGCCTCCCCAAGGAACAAATGCCTGAGGTCTCCAGGATGGCAGCAAACCAAATGCTTCTTTACCCACACCCCCACTGAGCATGAACTCATCAACTCCACCCTCCCCACTTGTCCCTTGACAACATCAACAGGAAGTAGCCAGACTTGAACTGGTATCCATATATATCCAAAAGGGTTAGGATGTTGGTAATCTCTACTTCGGTCTCACTCCCCCATTCCAAACCCTGCCCAGATGTTTGACTGGGAACCTGGCCCCACTCTTCCCACCCTAGACCCCACCCCTCAGAAAGCCCACCAAAGGTCAGTTCCTTCCCTGGAGCTGCTCAAGACCATGCCTACAGGGTGTTTAAGACCTGGTCCTAGACCTGCCATGTGATTTCTCTCCTGCCTTTCTGAAAGTTACCCGGAGAGTTGCTTTTCTCTGTTTATTAAATCTGTCTTATTAATTTGGCTTGATTTGGCTTATTGCATCAGCAAAGGAATCCCCAAACTGGGGAGTTTAAAAATATTTGTAAGTAAACACGCCACTTCTTAACTTATTTGAGGGTCAGTCTCCTCTGCAAGGTGATAAGAGGTCAGCTAACATAAATGCCCTATTTAGTTTAGAAGGTTTGAGACATGAACTCTTCCAGTTTTAGGAAAAGTCACAAATGAGATGGTTAGACTATTCCTTATTGCTTTTCCCCATCATTTTATTTAGAATTTATAAATAGGATTTTAAGAACTTTAAAAATATACTGCATATTTAAGTTTTTCTTCTTCCTTGGGATTTATTCTAACTGAATAATTTCAACCAAGCACACTTTGGGGAACAGCGCCAGGAGCCAGAGGCATAGCTGAGATCATGCCAAGCTGCTTGGCTGAAAGGACTCAAACACAAGGCTCTGGAGTCTCCGACCCGCACACACTCTCCTCCCCATGCCACAGCTTCCCTTGTGCATCCACTCCAGAGCTGGCTGCCGTGAAGATGCTCTTGTGATGCTGCAGAGCCAGCGCTTACTTCAGACAGGTCACGTGCTGACCCTGGGAGCTCAAGACATGCCTGTCTGTGAGCACAGTCCCTGTGGAGTGGAGCCCTGCAGTGCTGTGCTCTTGAGCACCTACCTTCACCAGTGCCGGGCCAGGCTTCGCTGAGGACACAGTGTTTGTGGGGAGGATGGGAGCTGTAGACCTCGTGGGAGGCTGGTCCGCAGTTAGAGGGGTTTTCAAGAATTCAGGAACTGCTGGGGACACGGAGGTAAACTGGTGGGAAAGGCAGAGAGAGACATGGCCATGAGATCAGTAACTGGAGGAGGACTGGAACTGCAAGGGAATGACCTCATTGTACAAACAGCATCCTTACTGGTTATCCAATACAAAGTGGTCAGCCCCAACCACATTCATGCAAAAGACTCAGAGGCTGTATTTCTATATTTGCACACACATACATATGCATATACATATAAGCAGTAAGGATAAAGAAAAAGAGTCTATCAACCTAAGAGTGGGGGAGAGTCATGGGAGGGGCTGAAGAGAGCAAAGGGAGGGGCTGGTGATGCAATTCTATTTTCATTAAAAATGTATAAAAATCTTATAAATATAAAAAAAGTCTAAAAACAAAACAAAGAAAAACACAGTATTGTGCCCGAGGTCCAGAGGGAATTACAGGCTTGTTCTCCATGCAGTAGGTTATCAGCTTCGTCTCTACAGCAGGGCAGCTGGAACTACGCAAGGGTGGACTGATGTGGCTGCATGTGTTGTCCCCCCCTCCTCTAACAAGTGGACTCAGAACTATCCTTATTTTTGGCAAAAATAAAACAAAACAACAATAACAACAACAACAAAACCAACTTATAAAAGCAATCAAAACAATACATAGCATTTCTAAACATTTCTTGGTAGGTTGTGCTAATCCTGGCTCATCCACATGTAGGGTTTGGCCTTTCAGAGCATGGGCCTGTACCACACCCATCCCCTTCTGCTGTTGGCAGCTTCTTAGAGGAAGACCATGTCATCCCCAGGGGCCTTCAATGTACTGCACACCTCACACTTCTGTCTCCAAACTAGTGCTAATTGACCACAGCCCCGTGTCTTTTAAAAGAGAAGCTGAAGAATGTGTTGGCCAAAACTATCCCCTTGCATAAGGAGCTTCTCTTCCAGGGCCTTTGCCCTTTCCAGAGCCAGTGAGCACCAGCATGGAGCTGGGGTGGGGGTAGAAGCAGCTACAAGATCTTATTGCTTCTCGCCAGTACCCCATTCTAAGTATGTGGCCTGTCCGTCACCCAAGGCAATGCTATGTTCTCACTTCTGCTTCCTTATTATCAGCTTTTTTTTTTCTTCAGGGAAAATGGTTTTTCTTCAGAAAAGACATCCCACCCCTTCAGTTCTCCTGTGGAAGTTTTTTAAAGTAACAAACTGCATTTCTCTTTCTAAGATAAACAACCTAAAAACCTGGAGTGTTATTAGTAAAAAGAAATATGAAGCCTGGTGTGTATACTCAATAAATGTCTGTTTAATTGATGGTGTTCTTGTGGCTTCCCCCAGCAAAGTCACATTCTCAAACTCAGCTGTGACTGTGTGAGTGCGTGTGCGTGTGCGTGTGCGATTGTACAAGTCCAGTCCCTACTCATTTCAGCATCAGAGTATTACACGAAGACAATGTAAGAGACTGTGAAGACGGCTGGGAGCTTCATTTCATCCAGCCTGTTTCAGACTCTGGAGATGTCTGGCTCTCTGAGAAACTTGTGGCCAGCCAACGCTCATGCTTCAAGTGAAAAGTGGCTCTTCCTTATGGGACATGGCCTTCTGCGATCAGTGGTCCTCTACCTGGCATACTGCAGGGATGGAGATACTTCTGGGTGGTCTCACAGGGAGTATAATCTTTGACGCTTGTATAACTGGTATATGAAGTAGAACGTAGTGCTTGAATTTTGAATTGTACATTATCTTCTCACAAAAGCATTCCATCTGGAGAGCTGTCTGACCAGCACAGGCAGCCATGATAGCCCCGAGCATGCTGTTATCCTGAAGTACAGATGCAGCAGCTGGGGGCCGCTTGTGAGGACATCTCTGCCTGCACTCCTAGGCTGTGCCTCCTCCAGCCTCTAATACAGATGCTGTCTTCTTATTATCCCTACTTCAACGTTACTGCTATCCAGAAGAACCATAAGACCATTGAAATATAGCAACTGTTCCCTGTACCTAAGGGACAGATAAACAAGCTGAAAGAAGAGATCTGGAGTCCTCTAGGAGCTGACAGGTTTCTTACGTGTCTTGAGGGGCCCAAACCAAAATATCCTCAACAAATGGCTCCAACTGGGCAAACTCTTCAAAAGAGGCCAGGTGCCAGGGTTCTTCTAAAAGGGTTTAAAATATCCAAGTCACAAAGGGCACTTCCTCTGCTCCACAGTTAATATGGCATCACCTTAGAAAGGATACGAGGGAAGCATCATGACACCAAGACCTGCATTCCCTCTGTAAATCCAACGATGCAGAATTATTTCTCTAAAGAAGAAGAAGAAACAGAAGCTGCAGACTTGACTTCCCATCCAACTGTTCCCACCACAGGATGCAGGGCTCATAATTGCTAGTATCCTCACTTTCATCCTAACACTATCAAAGAAAACATGAGGACCTAAGTTTGGAACCCTAGCATCCATGCAAGAGATGCACAGTGTGACAGAAAGCACCTGTAATCCCAGCGCTGAGAGAGACAGGAGGACCCTTGGAGCTCCTTGGCTAACCACCTTGCCAAATGGTGAGCTGCAGCTCAGTAAGAGATCCTGTCTTAAAATAAGGACAGTGACTAAGGAAGAATCCTAAAGTTAGTCCCTAGACACATACACTCAGGCACATGCATACATACGAGTGCACACACTCACACGAACATACACAATACTTGGCATCAAGTTCTGGCTTTCACATACATGTGTATACACACAATCAGCATCCAAAGGAAAATGTAAATACTGGATATTTTGAAAATAAGTTAGAAAAAGAGGCCTTTAATCTTAAAACTAACATTTCTTTTACAAGAAGTTGCTATAGGAAAAGTTCATGATGCAGGTTCTGGCTGCCTCCCCTGCAGACTACTGTCTGCACACAAAGGCTCAAGAGCGGCCTTCTGGAAAGGTCGTTCTTTCTTTATATTTATGGTTGTGAGCCTAGCCTTTAACAGCTGAGCCATCTCTCCAGCCCAAGGTCGTTCTTTCTTATGCTGTAGTTTTTCAATCTCTAATAAGCATGCTTTTAATTCAGGATGCAGAAGAGTTCTTGCAACATGCAAGTAAATTCAAACTGTGACTGTTCTTTGAATACTGTATAATTATCGCAGTTTCCACACAGATAAAATAACAATGAATGTGCTGAATACAAACCCAAACATATTCTGGATGTTGAGTACAGGCATGTAAAATTCTCATGTGCCTGATGGAGGAAGGTCATTGGTTAAATAAAAAAACTGCCTTGGCCCATCTGATAGGGCAAAATTTAGATAGGCAGAGTAAACAGAACAGAATGCTGGGAGGAAGAGGAAGTGAGCTCAGAGGCCATGCTCCCCTCTCCTGGGCAGACGCCATGAAGCAAGCTTCCAGGTCAGACATGCTGAATCTTTCCTGGTAAGACTGATGCTACACAGATTATTAGAGATGGGTTGATTGGGACATGAGAATTAGCCTGTAAGGGCTAGAGTTAATGGGCCAAGCAGTGTTTAAATGAATACAGTTTGTGTGTTGTTATTTCTGGTGTAAAGGTAGCCGTGCGGGAGCAGGGCGGGACGAAAAGCAAGCCCGCAGCTCCTACAACATGTGCCGGTGTGTGTCCCTCTGTGATTGGTTCTTTCATTTAACATAATACTTAGATCCATCCATATCTAGCTGGTGCAGAACCCCTTCCTTTCCAAGGGCAGTTTTTTGTTTCTGCATTCAGATGCTGTGCACACAAGGGCCCCTTTTCTGTTAGCCACGAGATGCTGTTTGCATGAACAGGGTAAATGATGGTATGTGTGTTATAGAAAATATATATGTTCTAATTCTTTGTTTCAACCTTTTGTTTGTTTGTTTGACCGATTTAAAGATAGGGACTTACTATACAGCCTAGGCTCCAGAACAACCCTGCTGTGTCAGCTTGTGAAGTACTGGATACTGGGTGTGTACCACGACAGCCCACTTCCTGCTTTCAACTCATTCATCCAGAAACAGAACTGCTGGGTCACTGGTTAAGCTCTGTCTTAAACATTATTTACTTAGTGTCTGCGTGTGACAGAGGAACATTTGGGAGACAGCTCCCAATCGCTAGCAGACTACAGGGACTTGATGGCAAACGCCTTTTCTCACTTCAGCCATGGCACCGGCCTAGTAAAACTGTATTTGTAAGACACCATTTTCTACAGTGACTATGTAACTACATTATGTCACTACAGTAACAATGGACAAGAACTGCAGCTTCTCCACATACTTGCCAGAATCTGGTGCTTTCTGAGTATGTTAGAGCAGCTTCTGGTTTTGATTTATGTTTATTGATTTCTTATGGTAGGTACGTTGTGATGCATTTATTTCCATTGTCTATAAACACGGTTTCGAAATGCCAGAGATCATCATATCTTATTGGCCACTTGTGTATTGTATTAGGGTTACTACTGCTGGGATGAAACATTATGATCAAAGCAAGTTGGGGAGGAAAGGGTTTAATTAGCTTACACTTCTATAATGCTATTTACCACTGAAGTAAGTCAGGACAGAACCTCAAACACGGAGCTGATGCAGGGCCTTGGAGGACGCTGCTTACTGGCTGCTCATCACGGCTCGCTCAGCCTGCTTTCTTATAGAACCCAGGACCCCCAGCCCTGGTAAGTCACTAATTAAGAAAATGCCCTACAGGTTTGACTACAGCCCAATCTTATGGAGACATTTCTCAATTGAGGCTTCTCTTCTCGGATGACTGAAGCTTGTGTCAGGCTGACACGAAACTAGCCAGCACATATGTATTCTTTGGAAAAATAATCAAATTTTGTACCTATTTTCAAAAAGTGTTGTTTATTTATGAATGTCCAGAGACAATCCTTCAAATACTTTCTCTCATCCTTTGGGTTAGTTTTTCATTCTGCTGATAAGATTCATTGTACAAAACTTTTTAATTTTGATGAGTACTAATTATCTCTTGTTGCCTGGGTCTTGCACTCAGGAAAACAGGGACAATGTAAGGTCAAGATGATTTCTTCTGTGCTGTCCCCTAAGTTTCTCCCCGTGTTACAGTTCACATGTAGG